AGGAGCTTTCGGGGTCTAGAAGCAAAGCCTTGTAATTAACCAGTCCTTGTAACAAAATGGCATATACGTTGACAAAGGTGTGTTCACGTTTGCTTTTGAGTCTTTTTGACCCGAAACTTGTTATTCTTAGTTCCATATTGCGACGATTTTCCCTTGTTAGTCCCAATCATGAAGACTAGCCTCAGCTGAAATATTCCTGGTTGGCTAAAATCGTGAAATCGTAGTACGTTGGACTTCTTAGACACAGTAATCTCCACCATTCCCTTTTATAAGTCACTCCAGCTCAGTCACGGACAAAATGGGGGGGGGGGGCTACCCCTTCGCCTGACGAGCAGGTAAAAATGGCTCTCATCCGGCGGGGCATAATATTGCGGATCTCGCGGCGCTTGTGGGAAGTTTGGCTTTGAACCAGTGAAGCCGCGGAGTCGCAATCACGCAGGAACCTCCAGGTAGTGGGCATTGCCTGGCGGCGCAGGGCGTCAAACCTTGACGATGACGTCATGGCGGCCCACATAATTCGAACATTTGGGAGGGGATTACGGCGGCGCGGAGCATCAGATCAAGGCAAGCTGAGCTGGCGCGGCAGAACCGCCGCTGGGGGGGGGGGGGGGGCGTGCGTGGGTGTTCCCCCCTAATGGACTGCTGGAATACACGCAATGAGGGGGATATAGAGCTGGTCCGGGTGCATCGCGTCACATCTCAGAGCGCAAAGGCACCCAGGGTACTCGTCGCCGTGCTGACCCCGGCCGCTTCGCTCCCCTCCCCTGCAGGGTGTTCGTGCTCTTCATGGTGGCCGTGTCAATCGTGTGGATCCCCATCATCAATTCGTCGTCGTCGAGCCAGCTGTTCGTCTACATCCAGAGCATCACGTCCTACCTGGCACCTCCCATCTGCGCCATCTACGTCCTCGCTGTGTTCTGGCCACGCGGCCAACGAGCAGGTGAGCGTGGGCGGTGATCACACACGTCAACGCTGGTGCGGCGAGGGGTTGCTCTGAGCGCTGACGTCAGTGTATCGCTGGTGTGGCGAGGGGTGCTCTGAGCGCTGACGTCAGTGTATCGCTGGTGCGGCGAGGGGTGCTCTGAGCGCTGACGTCAGTGTATCGCTGGTGTGGCGAGGGGTGCTCTGAGCGCTGACGTCAGTGTATCGTTGGTGCGGCGAGGGGTGCTCTGAGCGCTGACGTCAGTGTATCGTTGGTGCGGCGAGGGGTGCTCTGAGCGCTGACGTCAATGTATCGCTGGTGTGGCGAGGGGTGCTCTGAGCGCTGACGTCAGTGTATCGCTGGTGTGGCGAGGGGTGCTCTGAGCGCTGACGTCAGTGTATCGCTGGTGTGGCGAGGGGTGCTCTGAGCGCTGACGTCAGTGTATCGTTGGTGCGGCGAGGGGTGCTCTGAGCGCTGACGTCAATGTATCGCTGGTGTGGCGAGGGGTGCTCTGAGCGCTGACGTCGGTGTATCGCTGGTGCGGCGAGGGGTGCTCTGAGCGCTGATGTCAGTGTATCACTCATTGTTGTATGCCGAAGATCTTTGGTGGGACTCCTTCTCTCAGTGATATCAGCACTGAATGTATGTCGATCTGGTGCGCAAAAAATTCGATTAGCTATTCGTGTTCAAGAGTGGAAGAAGCAAGCTGCATCAACTTTCTTTCAACTTTCAACTTTCTTTCATCATCCCTACATTTGAATGGGGTCTTGAACCGAGTTAGACATTTTTAAGACCATTCCCTGCAGCTCACAGCCAATTGACGAATGACATCCACAACATATTAAAGCGATGGACTCACGAGGGTTGACGCTGAAAAATCCGTAATTGGCGGCAGATATGTTTGGGTTTTCATTAGGTGGTATTTTAGTACCATTTGGTTTTGTGGATAGTCCTATTTAATAATGCTCTTATGTAATGCCTCTAAACGGCTGTGTCCCTAAATGCTGCCTCATGAGAGAGGGGACGAAGGTTATATGTCCCCAGACATGTACTTTTTGTTTCTTTATGTTGTCAGCGCACATTTGGTGTTCTGAAAATAATGCGAACAAAGAGCAACAGCAGTGAGGGAGGGGTAGGGAAGGACATGAACCATCCAAAGGGTTGCATAGCACCTTCCATGGGGATGCAGTCTCTCTTCGTGTCTGCGCCTATCCATACTTGGTCCCCAAAAGTATATGCTGCATACTCACGCTCGTTCGTTGTTCGTTCGTTCTCGTAAGTTCGTGGTTCGTTTGTATAGTTTGTTCGAACAGGTTTGTATAGTTCGTTCGTAAATGAAGTACCTGTAGGCCCCGCAGTTATGTAATGATATAGACTGTCATGCTGCACTGCAAGCTCACTAATACGTAATGTTTTTCTATGTGGTCGTATGCTGAGACAAGATAATAGTATAACAAGCTTTGTTCATATCTTAACTGCATTCAACTTTGGCACACATTGCAAGTGGCTTGTGTTAAGAAAAATTTAGATGTGTTGTAACAATTCCGCTGAGATCCTTTTTGCACTGCACAGACTTTGCAGTGCCTTTAAGATGTTTGTTAATGAGCGCATCAAAAGGCTTGGTGAGTTGCTTCTGCTAAGCTCTATCGTCATAAGTTTGGAAACGCTAGGGGCCGCATGGACCCCCCCCCCCCTACCTCCTATCAGTTTGCGTTCTGAAAAACGGCGAATCAAAGGCGAGGTTTAGTAGACGTACCTTTATGGTAATAGCTGTATCTATATAGCAATAGGCCTCTCTTCCAACACTGCGTCAGACTGTTGGCCGTGTATCCGACTGTTGTGTCTTTATCTGGCAGGGCGCCTTTTGGGGCATCATGCTGGGCCTGGTCCTCGGTATGGTGCGATTTGGAATCGAATTCTCCTACACGGTACCGCCGTGTGGCTCAGGTAATCATGCGCTGGTGGGTGTGTCATGCCTTGGACATCGTCTTTGGACCGACAAACCTGGAAACAACTCACAGCGAACCAGACCAGCTCGCTCCATGGCAGCCTGTCACAAAATGCGGATCCTGGTTGCTAACGCGGGATGCCGTGATTTAGATACTCACTGGGGGGAGAGGCAATAAGGGCATCCTAAGGTTTGTCGGCCTGTGACACAAATATGAAGGTCGTGGAAACCTGTCTTTTTGTCCAAGGATCAAAGGAATGTTTGCCGTTTGGTTTACGCAAAAAACGGACCATTTTGTTGTTCGCGTATTAAAGCTTACAAAAAAAAACATTTGCGACCTGTATAATATGATCATCTAGAAACGGCTCAACATTTCGTCAGCTTTAATCATTACCTTTTCTATTCTACTTTACTCTTACTTACTCTTCTCTTTGACAGACTTTGACTCTCTTGACTCTCTTGACTTTACTCGCAGGGTAAAACTGAATTTAGAATGAGACAATGCGTAAGGAAAACGGGATATCGTGCGCTTGGTAAAAAAATGCCAAGTTTATTTCGTCCTCAGCATGAATGGTTCCCAGACATGCCACTCGCTGTTGTTAGTTGGTCTGCCGCTTTTGGATTATGGGATATGGAGCCCGGGTCGGTGGAAATAATGAATTCATAACAACACCGCCCCTCTCTGCGCATTCAGTGACTCAGAATAATGAGAATAGGTGCCAGAGTCAACATTCGAGCACACAGAGGCGTACCCAAAATGATAGGGCAGGAGCCATGGGGCCTATGCCGCCGCACCCTGAACGAAGAGAGATTTGACATCGCTTCCTCCCTCCCGCAAAGCAAATTCTGGCTAAGCACCTGCGAGCATGTACATCTCAATTGTCTGGTGGATAACACCGGAGTTCTCATTCCGGAAAACGCTCCTTGTAAAATAGCAACAGAATTACACTTATTTAGACCATTCGGTCCCCCGGCCGCTGCGAAGGTGACCGAACTGGTCACAGCTGTAGCAGCCTAAGCCGCGCCGGAGCTCGCCCGTTCACTGCTGCCCCGCCGGATGTGCTGGGGCGCGCTGGTGTAGAACGCTCCCCCTGCCCTCCCCCCCCCCCCCCGTGGGGCCTTGGAAGCGGCCACGAACCGTGCACCAGTGCTGGCGCGAGGACTGACCGGGCGGACGCGGCCGTATCACGCAGGCTTCCGGCGTCACGTGGCCGTCACCATCTTCTGATCAGGTCACGAATGTCGATCGACACAGAACGGTGGCATGTGGTTACCTGAACCCCGCGACCACAAGAGCACATCCGTCCCCTCCCCCCGCACTTGCTGTACGACTCGGGGTCGATCCCGGGGTCACCCAGCGGAGCCGCTCGGCCAGATTCAGCCGCAGCCATCGCTGTGTCTAACTGTGTCGGTCGGGTCGGCCGCAGGAAGCCGGCCACGTGCGGACGCGCTTGCGACCACGTGCGGGCGCACTTGCAGCCACGTACGGGCGCACTTGCAGCAACACGCCCGTTAACATGCCGGAAGACTGCCCGCATATCTAACAGGCCGTTATTGAGGTCGCGCGTGCAGACGACTGGCGGGGTGGGCAGATTGTGGTCGGGATGTAGAATGCGGTTGGTGATGCGACACCGGCTGGGGTATTTCGCCAACAGACCGTCACCTTGATCGTCTGGAGCCCTTGTAGATGCCCATGCCATCACAGTCTTATTGACGAATCGTTTAGGTGTAAGCGTCAGTTGATACATCTGGCCATTTTTACCTAAAATGGTTTCTTAAAAGCAAGCTCCTTAAACAAACTTTCCCTTTAAAACCAGCTCTTAGCGAAAGAGCCTTTTGTTCTACGCACAAGACCATACCATGCTGTCTCTCAGGTCCTGTTCAGGTCAGGTAAAGATCGAGTTGGAATGGAGTCAGATAAGGGCAATGCTCAATCATTTTTCCGGATTTCTTAATTGTGTGAACGTTGTATTTGCGCATATTATGACAAGGCCGGGGTTTCGCAAAATATGTTAGAGTATTAAACAGTGAAATATAGCAGCACACAAAATACGCCAGCAAATGGGCTTCTACCCGGATTTGACCCACTGTCCTCTCAAAGTTGGGACTTGAGCTCAACTGCGTATGTTTGCGGCGGGAGAGGGGCTGGAACCCGTCAATTGAATAGGAAACTACACTCCTGTTTGATGACTTGTTCAGTAGACATTGTCCGTATGAAGTATTGGTTTGATGTCTCATCACAAATGGGCAATGTAAATCGTTTTCACTGTCATCCATAATTTACCCCGAGTAAATTTTTTGGTCATCTTATATGCCAAGTACTACATGATTGATCCCGAATGGCATGCAATCAAATCCATTGAAGTTTGTGTCTTAACCATCGAAGACAGAGGATGGAGCATTACAGTGCTGAGGCCTGAGGTCGCACATACAGTCGTACAGGCCTGCCTTGTGTGAGATCGTTAAAACAATGCATTTTGATAGTGTAGCACGCAGTAAACTTGTAATGCATGCTTTCAACTGTTCCCGACGTAGTTGTACACCGCGATGTCCTCAGCCAAGGCCCTGTTTTCCTCCTGTTCAGGTTTTTAGTGTTAAAGTTGTATTTGTTGACAAATATCAGTGGCGTTTCCGGTCATGCTTGGCTAATTCTTGGTCTCATTTCAGGCCTTGAAGATCTAAGACCCGAGTGGGTGAAGAGAGCTGTATTCGACATTCATTTCCTCCACTTCGGCTGCATTTTATTCCTGATAGTGCTGATCGCAGTTATCATCATTTCTTTGTGCACAGAGCCCATTCCAAAAGAATGTGTGAGTCCGCCTTTGGCATCCTAATGTCCTATCTCACTCTCGCCGAAGCATTACTTATGCGATGCCATGACAATAACTACAGGGATTCCCCCACGTGTCGAGATCTGTAGTTCCATACTAAGCCTGTTAAGGTACGCAGTGCATGGGGTTGCGGATATTCGATGAGCTCTGAGTGGCGAGAGCTCCATGTCTGAAGCTGACGCATCCAGCGTTGTATCGCATCCGCCGCTTTAGCAGCACCCACGGCCGGGGCACCAGTTCGTCAGAGCCTACCGCACGGTGGCGGTTGGAAGCTCAACTATCGGTAGATAAGGGTGTGTTAACGCAGTAACTAAGCGCAATTATTTCGTGAAGATGCTCCTTTTTCTACTCCAGACGGACGCAATAAATAATTAGTGATCTAAACAGATGTTCACCCAAACACATATGCTACAAGGTACTGCCTGTTTCGTTAGTCTACTCCCAGAGCGCTCACTCCGCATGGCGCCGTCGCACGTGGCAGTAAGAGGGGCTTGAATGACACCAGGTCCGGCCGTTCCGCCCGGCAGCTGCACCGGCTGACGTTCTGGTCCCGGCACAGCACGGAGCCACGTGCGCCTCTCCCCTGCGACGTAACCGAGGAGGCGAAGACTCCACCACCCACAGGTAGGTGAACACCGCCCCCCTGCGACGTTCTCGAGGCCAAGACTTCACCACCCACAGGTAGGTGAACACCACTCCCCTGCGACGGACTTGAGGAGGCCAAGACTCCACCACCCACAGGTAGGTGAACACCACTCCCCTGCGATGGACTTGAGGAGGCCAATGCTCCACCACCCACAGGTAGGTGAACACCACTCCCCTGCGACGGACTTGAGGAGGCCAATGCTCCACCACGCACAGGAAGGTGAACACCGCTCCCCTGCGACGTTTTCAAGGAGGCGAAGACTCAACCACCCGCAGGTAAGTGAAGACCTCTCCCCGGCCGGACGTGGCCACTACTCATGGAGAACCCTGATACTCAACCTGGCCAACGCCCCCTCAGACGGTTCCAATGAGCATACGTGAGCATCTTTCGGCGAATCCGTCGCACGCCACGCTCGTTGAGCCTCCACCACAGGGGCGCAGTTTCGCAAAATGGGAAGAGAGAGGCTAAGCAGGAAAAAGCTGGTCTGAAATGACTAAAAAATCCGTTTTCTGTATTTGACCGGCTTAAACAATAAAGAATGGGAAAGTTCAGACCAGGTCGCGAGGCGTGCACATTTTATATACCCAGAGGGTATGTTTCTTATCTACACAGTCCGCTCTTGAGCTTCCACAACCGGTCCATGCAAGATATCATACAAAGCGGGGTTAACACGCGCTCGGTGGGCGCCAATTCGACCCCTCCCCGAAGGTTTTTCCGGAATGGTTTCCAAACGACGCGGCGTAGCTGCGCCAAATTTTGCATAGCTAAAGATAATTAAATAGCTATCGTTTGGTCTCAAGAATTTAGATACATCTTGTAAGAACACTCACCTACGGCAGGTCAAAGTTAGGCCATGGATTCGGCGAGGACAGTTTCTGGGAAATCGTTCAATCTGATTCAACAACGAAGCGTTAGACGAAGCCAAACACGTCCGAGATAGATTCGTAGACAACACAAAAATTGAGTGAATAAATTCCATGGACCTAGGATTCTGTATAAAGTCAGACAAAGATCAAAACCAACATGTTCTGTCATTCTAGAGCCTGTTATATTGAGTAGTTCATGGTGCTCATTTATGATTTATTGATGACAGGAACCGTATTATACATCTTCTATGAACTTATTTAAGGCCAGAATAGGCCACTAACCTGAAATGCCCCATCAACATTTTTTTCGCAACATACTGCTAAGAGTAATATTTGACGCCCTTTCCAATGCAAATCTCCTAGCATTCTTTTATAATTTTGGCCACCATGACCTTCAAACGAAGTTACTGACCTTACATAAACACTAACAACCTCATGCTTAGCACTTGCTCAGCAATGGGTGTGCACATCCCTCTGACCGTCTACAGCCGTGTGCCCCTCAGAGCCGGCGCCAAGCGGCCCGCCATCTCTGGGCCGCAAGCTGTTCAACCTGATCTGCGGGGTGGAGGAGCGCGCCGGCGCGCCGGCGGATGCGTCCGACCCGCGCCGTCTCATGACCGACTTGGAGCGCGCCAAGGCCGACGCCGACTCGCTGCACGAGGACCCCAAACAGAGAGTGTGAGTCACGCTACCGTGAGGTCTGAGTCACGCCACCGTCAGGTGTGAGTCGCGCCGCCGTCAGGAGTGAGTCGCGCCGTCTTCAGGTGTGATTTGCGCCGTCGTCAGGTGTGAGTCACGCCACCGTCAGGTGTGAGTCGCGCCGCTGTTAGGTGTGAGTCGTGCCGCCGTCAGGTGTGAGAAGCACCGCCATCAGTTGCCGAACGAGCGGGTCGATGATAACGCTGGCGTCAGTTATGGACTGAAGGATCAGGACGGGTTTGGTCGCCCTCCAATACACGGCATATAATGATGGGTTCCATGATTGCTGGAGAAAATTTTGCCTGAAGCTGGTGACGTTCAAATGCCTGACGTCGTCTCTGTCCCAGACGATGCAAAAAAACAACAGAGAAGCGGTGTCCCTGCCCAGATAATTACTTAGATAAAAACAGGCCCAACCACAAGCTAAGACACAGGGGCATGCTACTGTTGTGGTTTCAGAACAACGTCGGACAATGGCAGCAATATATCTGCACTGCATATTGATGATGCTAAAGGAAGGGTGATGGGGTGCGGAAAAAGATGTTTCGTGGCAGCTTTCGGTCCAATGGTCGCTTTTTTCATTCGTAATACAAACATTCGTCTGGTGCATGCAAGCAGTTTTTGTCTTTTACGTTTTAGCTTTTTGTACTGTCTGGCGTGTTGTCCTGAGAGAGCTGTGCTCGCACAAATACACATCAAACAAACAATGAGAATGCGTATTGTGACCGCCTCAGGGTCAAGGCTCGGACGTGAAATCACCCAGGGATGGGAGATTTGCGCAGGCATACCTGACCAGGTCTGTGATCTGTCCGCTTTTCAGAGTTGTCAACGTCTTGGCCCTTTTTACGATGGCCATCTCCCTGGGAATGTATGTCTACTACCGATGAAGCAAGATGGAGCATAATCCGATGACGTTGCGGAACAAGACGACCTCATCGGATGACGCTTGGGAACAAGACAGCCTCGTCGGATGACGCTGGGAAGCAAGACAGCATTATAGGATGACGCTGGGAAGAAGGATGGGCTCATCGTATGCTGCTGTGGAGCAAGCGTCGTCCCTTCTGATCACCGCGCGGGACTGATAGCTTTTCCAGTGTCTGGCACGTGTAGGCTTACTGGCACAAGAGGCTGATCGATTTGTGCGGCTGGTTGCTTGACACTAGCGTCGGTGATTGCATGCTTCATGCCACATCCGCTGAATTCTGCGATTTCGAACTTTGAAATTTTGACATTTGGAATATTGTTTAATTCATTACGAGGCCATGTGTTGAAATCATGCCAGGCAAGGCTGCGTTGGAGTGCGTACTTTGCAGTGATATAGGAAAGCAGCGGACGTGCATGCGTAATACATAGGCATACATAATGCACGATTTCGTGGGTGTATGAACTAGTATGTTGTTCAGGATAAAGTAAAGTAGACGAGCAAATAGGCACCAAATGTTTCACTATCTTCAAAAAAAGGTTGCGGTAAAATGGGGAGCAATAATGCTTGTTTTACTGTAACTGATCGGCTGCAACAAAGGCATACAGCTAGTAACCATATGTGCGCACTTCTTAAAATGTTTTGGAGCGGACTATATTAGTGATAAGCACAAGTGATTATACATGGATAATTCCTGAGAAATAAACAAAAATGAGGACGTCTGAAAATATTTAGCGGTGGGACTCAAGTTCCTATAGGAACTTGAGTACACACCAGGTGCATGGCCAAAGCCACGCAGCTGGTATGCATGTGCACTACTTGGTGCTCTCTTTCTTGTACACTGTGTATATGCTATCAGTATTTTTATCCTTACACCTTGCTTATTTTGTGTAGATGTACAATTTGGGAATTCTAGCGAGCACAAATAGTCCTTATGATCCGTAAATTTTCGGGCTCTGTGCTCCCTTATTTTTGTCAAAACGAGCGGCAGGCCAAACAATTTCGAGTTGAGCCACCTGAATCAATACTTGGGAAAAGACATGCCTTTTTCCAGACCTCGATCGGAAATGACTTTCCAATCGCAAATGCATGTCAATGTGAGAAATAATCGAGATTGGCATGGTGAACAGGATGGCCCGCATAACAGCGAGTATCTCAGAGCTGTTTACTCGGTACCCACACCCGTTGGTGCTCCGATTAAATGCATTCGTATCTCTAAGCTTTGCATTTAGTACTGACCGAGCAACACGTATAGCTTATATGCTTTCTAATGCAATGCTTTCCGTTGGAATGAGTGCCGCTATTTTCCACCGAACACTCGCTGCACTAGTAAAACCCGTGGTCTCGACGGATTGCCATTCGGTGCCATGGTTCCATTTGAGTGATCCTTTTTTATCCGTGCACAGCCATTTCATTGCCCGGATTGACGCATTATGCACGAAGCAAGACATGATGACGTTTATCAAGCGCGGCAAAAAAATATTGATTTATTAAGTACTAACTCTTGGATTAAATATCTGAATGTGCTACGTCATTGTGGGAAAACCTGTCGAGTGCCATGCACAGGAAGATTGTTAAGAAGCTAGGTATTTAGTTTTAAGGGTCTGTCAACTGCAATGATTCTGCCGCCCGTTACGTCAGAGGACTGATACGAGTTCGTCACTAAACAAGGTGTTGCTCATCTCCATCTTATCCTCTGCACGTACCACAAGAGAGCGAGCCTTGAAAATAACGACTCGGCATCACAAAGTTGGCTGACCCCTCCATGCCTGTCGACTAGGTCCTCCCCCGCATTATCGGAGGTGGCCTCAGTGTCGAGCAGCTTTGCCGGCCGGCGCTGCCAATCAGCAGTCAGCTCGATATAGAGTCAGCCTCCACTCACACTGTCACCTGCTTTCGAGAGCCACGCATGCTACCTAGTGACGGCACCACACATTGGGCCGGGCAGGTCGCCCTGGCTACAACGGTGTATATCAACCCATCCTGTATATGCCAGCGAATATGGGTGTTTTACCCAGCAAGGTGAGAGGCCCTCGAAAGCTACGATGCGTCTTCTTTAGCTTCAGTTTAGTGGGATAAGTAGCTTAGTCGTACAGATGATGTTTGTATGAGGCTGTTTTTATTTAGCTACTCCAGCTGAGTAAAAGCATTGACGGCTTGGGTTTCATGAACATCTAGCACATATGTCCACCAAAGGTGTAATGCTGCTGCAAAGCTGCTGAGCAGCCAGACAATTCTGGCTCATCAAACCTGGTGCAGCTGAACAGAAAACCTTCTCGTATAAACATGAATATTCCCAGCTAAATCAACCCACTAAATATCGTACAGATACCTTGATGAGTTGCAGCAAAATAGAAAAAAGAAGCTTCCGCCAAACAGAAAGCTCCCCGTTGCGACCAGGAAGTTCCGTTCATTTCCAGACGTACAGCCTGTCATGAACGATGCGGTGTCTCAAAAGAAGTCTGTGGTTTGATGAACACCCGATAAGCAGCGGCATGTCTGTTATAACAGAGACAGGCTTCCACCCTGTCCTGCCAATATTTTGGATTGTCAAGGTGTGTGGTAGGGCAGGAAAGCCTGATGAATACAGCCAAGGCAAGGTAAGGTAGACAGCAGTCTTCTGACCGGACAAGGCCTATTTCTTGATTAGGAGCAGGGCTCTGCTGCGACTGAAAGATGATAAATGCTCTGATCGAGAAGGGGGCCCTAGCAAAATAGGCATGGAGTATGTGAGTAGGGAAAACATCCATATGACACCAATTTTTAGCCAAAGTGTTTCATTAAAACTGCACTCTTTGAGACGCTTGAGAAGTATGGAAAACATTATATTTGCATCCATGTCATCATAAAGATTGAGCCAGCACTGCTCACTTGACATTTTGGCAGTCACATTGCTACTCATCCACGGTCCCTTCTGTTCATACTGTGGCGCCTTTTGTCAATCGGTGCGCGTAGTGACGCGTAAGCGGACGCCGCGGACGGACGGACGGCGTCTCAGTTGTGGGGGCGACGGATACGGAAGAGCCGTTGAAGGATGTTGCGAAAAGGAAGTAACCCTGGAGACAGATTACGAGGAATATGTGACGCATTGCAGTGGTGCTTCTTTGTGTACCGTACTGAACGTTAATCGGAGTATCTCGCTGCGATGGGACAGGCGAAGCAGGCCGCAGCGAGGTGCCGCTGCTAATGCGACGTCCGATAGGACCAAACAAAGCCAAACTCAAAACGCTCCAAACGGCAGAAACCAGACTCAAGGCTCAAACGCTCACGCAAACTACGTAAAGGTAGCTAATGCTTCTAAGCCCAGAGTGACTTGACGCATGCAGACTAGAACAGTGTGTGCAAATGGCATATTTTCAGTGAAGAGGCTACGGCAGATGTATTATGTGCACTGCTAGGAAAACCCAACACTTAACACGCACCCTGGTGGCCCGTTGAATGCTCTTCGCTCGGGTAAAGTGTCAATCTGCCCCCCTAAAATTTCAAAAGCAAAGGAAGCTAGCGACACCAGATTCCCAGAGTAGGTTGAGTAGGTTAGGTTAGGTTAGGTTAGGTTAGGTTAGGTTAGGTTAGGTTAGGTTAGGTTAGGTTAGGTTAGGTTAGGTTAGGTTAGGTTAAAAAACCACAGTGCACCCCGAGCCATTTATTGCACCATAGTGCACCCCGTAAGAGTCTACCGCAGAGCTTATAGCTCCGACACTATCCGGATCACGGTCTTGAGCTTCTGGACTTAAGTTATCAAAGGATCAGGCTAACTTATTATTTTTGCCAATTTGACCTAGGTCATATCAAGGTCAAGCTATGGCATGCGGAACATGGCGAACAAATGGACAATAGTGCACCTCGCACTAGCCAGCTGATCGGGATGCGCTACGTCGCAAATAAGGGATTTACTGATTTCGAGGACCGAAGTGCACCCCGCTAAAACGCCGTGACTAGGTAAACTGCTGCCAAATATGAAAATGGGTCAAAATCGCATTTCCAAAAATTTGACCCACTCCAAAATTTGCCAAAAATCCTTTGATTTACCTTTGTCCCATGATTTGACACCAAACAAGCTCGACAGACCCCCCAACAAGAGATGAAATAAATTACCCGAAAAGTGGCAGTCCATTTTGGGACCGTACGATTTAGCCTACTATTGACGCCATGTTAACAGAAAGGGACGCATTCGATGCAAAACGTTCTGGGTGCTTTGTATATATGAAGAGGTGATTTTGAAGAAAAAAACTGCTGTAAAAACCCTCAAAATTACATTTTTGAGCTGATTTTTGTTTTTTTATTTATAATTTTTGTCAATTTGTTTCCTTATTTTTCTTAGGTATTAAGGTTTTAAAACGGTGCCATTTTGTAAACGTTGTTAATTTGGCGTAGAAAAGTGTCTTGCTGTAGCCGATTTGTTGTGTTGAGCCGCATGGTTCTTATACCATTGTGTTTGAAAAACAGCTGTACGCGTAAGAAATTGAAAAACATTCCTGCATTCAAAGCGATGCTGTGACTTCGTTTCTGGATATATTTTGAATGGGCGAACTGCGTTGGAAAGTGGGGGCTCACAAGGTTGTATTTTTTATATTTTCTAGTCAAAGATTAATATTTTGGTCAGAAATGCCATGTACATATTTTGTCAATTTTTTGTATACCTAATCCTAGTGCTATGCTAATCGTAAGCTTTCTTTTTTCTGTATACTTCACGCTTAAAACGGCAATCCTTAAAAAGCGCATTGACGGTAGAGTTGCGTTCTGTTAAATTCGCAGAGGCAGGGGGCACAAGGAGCACGGGGCACCAGAGGGCAGAGCAGTCGAGGAGCCCCAAGATCTCCTCGGGACTTGGGGCCCAAAGAGCCAAATTTTCGGTCCGCTTGCCGCTTTGGGGAACGACGTCCCGCACCGATTCGGGGCCAGCTACTATGTCCGAAGGGTTTCCTGCGTCAGGGAGAAACCAATGTATAATGCATCTTCTGAGGGCCTCCGGATCGACCAGGAGTCCCCCCCCCCCCCCCACCTGTTTTGCCGGAATGGCAGCCGGTAGACACCTTGCTCTGGAACGGAATGGTATGTCCCTTTAGCTCTCAGCCGGGAAGATAACGCGCCCCCTAATGATATACCCACGAGGCCCTTGTCCGGAAAAAGGTACGGGCTGTCGTAAGGGTTCAGCAGAGGGAATCCAAATGAGGTCAGAAAAAGGTCAATCCATATTTGCCTGAAGACATCCGTCCTTTGCACAAACGACTTGTCAAACAAATTACATGAAAGAAAATACATCACTACGCTTCCAATTTTAGGGGCAAGACAGCCGACGTTCCGGATTGCAGTTACGGTAAACGGAACGGCGTTGGCCGCCGAGGATAACACCAGGCGACAGGCGCCTGGCACGCGAAAGCAACTATGTTTCGGGAGCTCCCGAAATCGGTTCACACCGTTCAAAGATCAAACTAGTTCACCTTTCTGATTTTGATGATGTCTTCTGAACACATAAACAGTTCCAGTAACACGAAAGCACTGATCCTGTCTTCGCTCTTCCGTTCCACCTCTAGAACGGGAGAAGGGACCGGAATAATGTCATTTACGACGCCAGTTCCTGACGTAAATCTCAATCAGCTCTTGCCGTCAATCTTTAAAAATGGCACAGCTGGCGTGTACTTCAAAACAGTTTTTGAGTCGTCGAAATAAGACTTGCGAGCACGAATTTTTAAAAATTCTACGTAACTTT